CCACCAGCTTCATTGGTTATGACATAAACTAAGCCAAGCCAGTGGAGAAAAGATGAGGGTACATTCATTTTATGTATGCAAGGCACACTGGGAGAATCAGATTGAGAGTTACAGTCAAATTTCAGGCACCCCAAAGAGAATTTCAGCACCTTTGTGAATACCTGCTGTAAAAATTGTGTAAATAAAACTCCACATTATTTTTAGAATAGCCCTTCCTGTGTTAGATTTGTTTTCCAGGGGAGCTCCAAGGAGCCCACAGATCTGCCTTTAGGCTTGGCCATGACGATAAGTTTCTGCATCCCTAAGTCTCTCGCCCATTAATTCAGAGGGGGGCTGTGGGGAGGTGAGTGGTGCTTTCCCCTAAATTTAACTAGCTGCTGTCTCAGCTAGAATCTGGAGTTCTCCTGGCCTGCTTGCTCTACAGCGAATTGAGAAAGAATAATTTTCTTCTGCAGAGGAATGGCTGGAGTTTGGCAAATTTCAATTGAATCTTCATGACCTGGTGGTCACAAGTTGCTTGGTCCACAGCAAGAAGATTCGCTTTTGCCAGCACAGTCCTACTTCAAAAGAAGCTGTTGCTGCTGACCAGAACAGCCCAATTTGCTCATTTTTCCCTGCCAGAGGGACCATCAGCACCATCAGGCACATTCCCAAAATAACACCACGGTATTTCACTGCTTTGACAGGGAGTGAGAGGCAGTCACCAATACTGGGATAGACCAATGCACCTGATATTAGCACTAAAGATGTGACTCCATTTTATGCCATCTTCTCCCTCACCATAACACCAGCAAACTCCTGAAATGACCCATCTTGTTAGTTAGCCCAGGGTATCATTCTGAGCTGTATATTTAATGAAGATGTATTCACAGCAGAAATAGGCCATGAAGTCCCAGCTTCCTCATTTTTATCAGCTTGTCTTTCCAAATAGAAAATTCAACAAATTTACCTGGCATAGCAGCAACCCCAACAGCCTTCCCCACCAGACCCACAAAAATACTACTGTGCACCAAAAGCTTTCTAGAACACAAATTATTAAAAAAAAGAAAAAAACACAAAAAAATCTCAAAGCCTTTGACACAGAGTAAATTTCATTTATCTCCTGTCTCCAGCAATTGAGCTAAATTAAAAACCCAACAAGATAAGGATGTATAGCATAAGTGTGTAATGTAGTGTATGGTGGCAAACCCCAAAACATTTAACCTATCAAAAATCCTTAATTAGTAAGGTAGAGAAAGAAACACAGTACGTCTGTAAGCACACTACAGTTCCTCACGGCTTTGGTGAGGAAAACAAGCCAGTCAACGTGCCACAGGGGGGTTTCTTGTTTATTGGCATTATAACCAAAATGTCAGCACTATGCTGAACTCCAGAGCCATTTTGTTTACGATGCCATGCAGCAGCAAAGCATCCTTAAGGGGTTGTGATCCCTTTTCAGAAGTGTTAAACAGGACACTGAAACCTGGATTAAAAACATACATAGACATATACATCTAGTCATAGTCATTTTACCTGTGTAAGCTGCACATTTATTGGTGTGTATGTGTACACCTACCTAGCTGTTGGCTCAGGACATCTATGATTAAAAGTTTTATGAGGTGTAGAGAAAATTAGCATACAGTAACCTTCACAAATTTTATAACAATAGAAGAAAGTTGCCTCCAGCACTGTGAGAAATGAGCAGTATAAACTTTCTCAATAAACACTTTTCAAAAGCTCCTGCTCTTTCTTCTCTATTCCACATTCATCAGCAAACACCTTTACAAGCATGCAGTTGCCTAGAACAGCTTGTATTTTCGTCATCATCTAGACCCTCCTTTAACTGTCCAATA